TCGCTTGAGACAACAGCTGCTACTCAATCAGAGCCGACAACAGCAAGTTGAAAAGCCGGGATTCTTTGATAGAGCGCTGCAAATGACACCAGTCTCGGGCGGATTCTCTAGCACCCTATCAAAGTATAGCGTCATGCCAGGCCTCTAAAGTTGTTCCTTATAGAGAACATTCGTTCCACTTTTAGTGGTTGCATAATATCCGTTTCAAGATTAACGTAATTTGCAAAGAATTAACCACCTTAATGTTATAGAATCCGTTTTATGTCAATGGACATGTTCTTGATTCCATAGATAAAGTGAAAATTGTGTGTTGTCCATAATACCAATTTGAAAAAAGACCCTAGTCGTTTCTTCTAATTATTAATGAATAAAGGCTGATAGTTTCTTCTAATTATTAACTAGTACGCGCAAACAAACTTCCCTTCCGGAGAAATTTAGCCCGAAACCTAACAGGCTACTGTAGTCTCTGTGTACAAAGGATGTGATAATGTTTGGGATATTCTTTATTGGCGCACGAGCGAAAAAAAAGGGGAGACAAGGTCGAGAAGTGAGACTGCGTCCAATCTTTTGACTCTCTCTCTATCTCTGACTCTCTCTCTGACTCTCTCTCTCTGACTCTCTCTCTCTGACTCTCTCTCTCTGACTCTCTCTCTCTGACTCTCTCTCTCTGACTCTCTCTCTCTCTGACTCTCTCTCTCTCTCTCTCTCTTTCTCTCTCTCTCTCTCTCTCTTTCTCTCTCTCGCCTTTTTTGTTTGTTTCTTCGCCTCAAAGCTTCAAAGAATTGATACCACAGCAGTAAAGAGGAGAGGATGCTAAGGTGACTCTTAGTGCCTCCTGATCGAATAGTTCAGCGTAGGAAATTAAGGGGAGGACGGGCGGTTTGTGGAATGAAATAACACAGAGTTGTTTACGAGCAAAAAACAAAGAAAGAAACAAACAACAATAAAACATTAAAAACACTATTAAAAAGGTCGGTCAGTTGGTCGAACGTAAAAGACGTATATATTCCAAAGTTGAGGCCCTCAGGTTCTGCCTTAAATTAAAGGGAAATGAAGCAAATATAAAACGACGAAAATTAACCAGTTTTTCCTCACACTCTAAGGGTACCCATGTCGAGCAATAGTCTCTTGAGTTCAAAATCCAGGCACTAATATTATTCAGGGCGAAATGCATTCAGCTGTAAAATAATTTCAATAAATATGCTTTCGGGTCTGAGAAATAAGGATAGAGGTCGCATCTATTGTCTTTGTGAAAACTCTCACACGAGCTGAACCTTCTCTAGCAATTGAGACAATGTTCTTTAATAAGTCAATAAAAGTTAGAGTCCAAAAGTGTAAACATTTATTAAAGCAAGCCAAGCTAAATTGCTATTTACAAAAACAAGGATTTGAGCCTGTAACACTGTGTATCGACTTTCACTCTTCTGATCACGAACGATTTTGCAACAATTTTCAGTTTCAAGTATCAACAATGTAAGGAATAAAAAGAAGCCTACTTGACTGCACAACGCTGCCTGAGAACTGATCTAAGCTAAAAAAAAAAACCCATTCTTGCGCTCTTTTCTCTCAAAGTCTGATTACCTTGTGAAGAAAAATCATTTTTGTCAGCTGGCGACCAAGGTTGTGTCAGGGTATCAGTAAATGAAGAAGATCGAAATATTAGGAGGGCGAAAAATCGCTTCTGGGTAAGAAGGGTTAGCTCCCTCCAATGTTTCAGCTCTCCCAGTTTAGACCGTCTCCAAAACAAGAGAGTCTAGTACAGGCTACTCTACGCGATTTTCTTTCTTCGCGCCAAAGGTCATATGTAGGATCAATGCCCCCTTTTTTCAAACTAATGACCTAACAGATCCTTTTTGCGTTCTGATTGACCTGAAAAAACTCACAGCTAAGTTGAACAGTTAAAAAGCCAATCAGACAAAAGAGTGACCAAATTACATTATACATACAGTCTCAATACAGGGCATTGTTTACACAGTATTCTGATTTGCTTGTCACGCAGATCTCAGATTAAATCTTTGTTAGCTCGCTGCCACGACACACAACTTAAGAACAGCCAAGTTATTCTAAATTACTACTCTGCTCATTACTCGCCAAATCAGTTGCCATAGAAACCTTTTTTTCCAGGCGCTCACTCAACATGAGTATCATCACCTTCATCGTCATCATTATCCTCCTCCTGCTCATCATCATCATAGTTCTCGTCAGTCATCATCCTTATCCTTATCATCATAATCGTCATCCTCCTCCTCCTCATTATCGTGAAAGTCATCATTAACCTCATCTTCATCCTCATCATTCCTCATCATCTTCATCCTCATCATCTTCATCCTCATCATTCCTCATCATCCTAGTCATTGCTCATCAACCTCATCCTCGTCATCATCATCCTCGTCATCCTCATCATCTCATCTTCATCCTCGTCATCCTCATCTTTCTTCATCATCCTCATCCTCATCAGTATCATCATTCCTCACCATCCTCCTTCTCGTCATCATCACCCCCATCCTCGTCATCCTCATCATCCTCGTCATTCCTCATCAGTCTCCTCCTCATCATCTCATCCTCATCATTCCTCATCATCATCATCCTCATCATCTATTCATTCCTCATCATCATCATCCTCATCATCCTCATCCTCGTCATCCTCATC